TGTGTGTGGTCTCCTCATGTTATTGTGACTCATCGTATGCATATTAATGATCTTAACATGAAGATATGACGTGAGTACGTCAGTCACTTTTCCTCTACCTTCATCACTCTGTCACCTCGTCAATCTCTCTCAGCAGCTACGGCCGGCTCCTTCTATGTCATATCCTGCTGCTGAGATAATTCTCCTAGGGTTTTGACACATTATGCCACTTTGTTCTCTTATAGTCTCTCGTTGGTCTTGGACGTAAACAACTCCTTATCCAGTAGAGTTCTTGTCTTGGTCTGAAAATGTTCTATATTTTGTTGCATCACAGCATCAATGCCTCTGATGCTCTGATGCCCTTACACAGCATCAGTGTCTCTGCTCTCTGGTTTTCATGTGTGTACTGTGGCTGTGTTAATATTAAATTCAATATCAAATATAACATTAAATTCCTTTTAACCAGTTTAAGACGAAAATTTACACAATTCCCTTTTTCCCCTATCTGTCTGTCTGTCTGTCTGTCTGTCTGTCTGTCTGTATCTCTCTCTCTCTCTCTCTCTCTCTCTCTCTCTCTCTCTCTCTCTCTCTCTCTCTCTCTCTCTCTCTCTCTCTCTCGTGATTCTCTGAGGCATCAGGAACCATTGTGGCAACATATATCACGGTATTCTTGGCGTTCTGCCATACCTGGAACAACAGCAGCAATGTTAATAGCAACACAGGCTAATGAATGGGACCTGCATATTGCACGGTGATGCAGTAAGCGTGGTTATGGGTGTTCAGTCTTCGGGGAAGTATTGGTTCGAGGTAAGCAACACAAACATTAGCCTTCATGTTGACTACACCACACACTAGAAGGTGAAGGGACGACGACGTTTCAGTCCGTCCTGGACCATTCTCAAGTCGATTGTGAATGACTTGAGTCGATCATTCAATCGACTTGAGAATGGTCCAGGACGGAGCGAAACGTCGTCGTCCCTTCACCTTCTAGTGAGTGGTCTGGTCAGCATTCTTCAGCCAAGTTATTGTGACTCATCGCCTGCATGTTTTAAGTTATTATCTGATAATTATCCTTTGTAGATGATCGTCTGAGATTCATGAGCACTGTCTACCTCTCGGCTGTCTAGTGACGCCAAACAAGCTCTTCAGTGCTGCAAACAAGACACAATAACCTAAATGAAAAGAAATAATCCAACCCACACATAGAGAAATCACAAGGAAAATGATGGCGTTTCTATCTGAACTGGAATAAAGTAGTAACTGAGTAAGAGTATTGACTGAGAGAGACTAAGACCTCCTTAAAGTTGCACGGGCATGAATAGCCCGTAAGTGGAAGCTCTTTGGAGTCATTACCAGCACCAATAGCTGATACTAGAGATCTGTGGAGGGATAGGGGTGTTAATGGTGGATTCCAGCCTCGGAGAGCTGGCTGTACCAGTTATGGAGCTGGTGGAGTTAGTGTAGACCTCTAGGCCTTCAGTGTTTACTTTGAAACTTGCTGCGAGTTGACATGGCCGTGCTCTCGTTGGAGATTGGTGAGGGGACCTCTATGAGGAGGTTTTGTACCAAGTAGGTGTCGTGTTTGTGCTGTGGCGGTGGAGCTCCTAGCAAGATTTCCTCGTCTGAGGAGTCCGTAACCTCCGTAATTGGTGGTTTTGTCTTTGGAGCAAGAGTAGGAGAGGGAAGGCAATATAAGGCAAGAGGGAAAGTGAGGAGAGAATTAAAGTGAGGGAAGAGGAGGTGAGGGAAGAGGAGGTGAGTGAAGAGGAGGTGAGTGAAGAGGAGGTGAGGGAAGAGGAGGTGAGGGAAGAGGAGGTGAGGGAAGAGGAGGTGAGGGAAGAGGAGGGGGAAGAGGTAAGTGCAGATGTTGAGCATGAAAACTGAGCTGACTTATAAGTGCCTCGATTTTCAAATTCCAAATGATTTTATTTGTCGTCGATAGAGTAATTCGTCGTTTCTGACACAGTGAGGCGCTTGTTAGAGTGTAACAACACCGGCCAAGCGTAAACAACCTGTATGTTAGTGTTAACTTGTATTACAAACTAACATTCAATAGTCGAGCAGACGAATAATGAACAATCTTACAATTACGCCATTTTATTTAGTAATGATTAATTGCCACAATAACATTACCTGTATATATATAATATTGCCTGTCACAGCGATAACTGAATCCTTCAGAGAGTCACAACGATTGTGCCGCCTCTGATAACGCGGCCCGGTCTCTCGACGCTCTGCCACTCCGTAAAAAAACCAACTGTTTTGCCTCACCGAAACCTCCGAACCCAAGCAACCCGCCCAAATACCCAACGAAACAACAAATAACGTGATATATCAAGGACAAAAATCTACGGAGCAGGACAATAAGTCAATCCTGCCGTCCACCTTCCTAAGAGTTCATCAACCATCCTGGCCTCAATAATACATCAATAAAAACGTCAATATTGCGGTGCTTTAATCATTAAAAAAGACAATTCGACCGATGAATTGGTCGAATTCAGTTATCGGTCCTCTATAACAGACAAAATCGAGAATAAGTCCTCTAAAACTAGAGAACCGTGAGTTTAAGTCCTCTAGAACAGAGAACCACGAGTATAAGTCCTCTATAACAGAGAACCACGAGTATAAGTCCTCTATAACAGAGAACCACGAGAATAAGTCCTCTATAACAGAGAACAACGAGAATAAGTCCTCTATAACAGTGAACAACGAGTATAAGTCCTCTATAACAGAGGACCACGAGTATAAGTACTCTATAACAGAGAACCACGAGTATAAGTCCTCTATAACAGTGAACCACGAGTATAAGTCCTCTATAACAGAGAACCACAAGAATAAGTCCTCTATAACAGAATAAGTCCTCTATAACAGAGAACAACGAGAATAAGTCCTCTATAACAGTGAACCACGAGTATAAGTCCTCTATAACAGAGGACCACGAGTATAAGTACTCTATAACAGAGAACCACGAGTATAAGTCCTCTATAACAGAGGACCACGAGTATAAGTCCTCTATAACAGAGAACCACAAGAATAAGTCTTCTATAACAGAATAAGTCCTCTATAACAGAGAACCACGAGTATAAGTCCTCTATAACAGTGAACCACGAGTATAAGTCCTCTATAACAGAGAACCACGAGTATAAGTCCTCTATAACAGAGAACCACGAGTGATTCTGAAACAACACCCTCCAATGAAATATCTGACACACTAACCAAGCATGACAGGTGTTTAAAAAGTTGGATATAAATCAATACCTGTTGTGTATAATCTATGCAACACTTTAATACGAATACAACAGGCCGGACGAGATGGAAAATGGCAGTCTACCAAATTTGAAAGACGGTGAAGGTCGCTGGACATTATAAACACAATTGATGGATCGTCAGCTTCGATAATTGTGTCAGAAACGTGGTCGTTTTAGTCGTCAGAGTTGATTAGTAATGTCGGAAACGTGATTGGCGAATCTTTAAAGCCTTTTTGAACAGACGTCAGGAACATTGCTGGTGGGTTGTCAGCCGTGGGAACAGCGTGCGGAGCACAACAGGTGAGGAGGACAGACGAGTCGTCAAGACCTCTCACCGGAGATGCTGTCTTGGGCGCCACTTCCCCGTCAAGACGGTCTTGACAGCTGTCAGACACATGCTTTCGTTCCCCGGTGCTATACACCTGGTTTCACCTGAGATATATATGTGAAGGATCACACACACACACACACACATCTGCCTCATATCTTACAACTTGCTGTCATGGTCCGGGATCAAGAACGGTACCCCAGTCACCCTCGGGGATCGAGCATCGACCCTGCAAGCGAGGACGGTGCTTTACCCACCAGGCACCCCCAGGCACCCACCAGGCACCACCAGGCACCCACCAGGCACCACCAGGCACCCCCAGGCACCCCCAGGCACCCCCAGGCACCCACCAGGCACCCCCAGGCACCCCCAGGCACCCCCAGGAACCCCCAGGCACCACCAGGCACCACCAGGCACCCCCAGGCACCCACCAGGCACCCCCAGGCACCCACCAGGCACCACCAGGCACCCCCAGGCACCCACCAGGCACCACCAGGCACCACCAGGCACCCCAGGCCCCCAGGCACCCCCAGGCACCCCCAGGCACCACCAGGCACCCCCAGGCACCCACCAGGCACCACCAGGCACCCCCAGGCACCCCCAGGCACCCCCAGGCACCACCAGGCACCACCAGGCACCCCCAGGCACCCCCCAGGCACCACCAGGCAGGCCCCCAGGCACCCCCAGGCACCCCCAGGCACCACCAGGCACCCCCAGGCACCACCAGGCACCCCCAGGCACCCCCAGGCACCCACCAGGCACCACCAGGCACCCCCAGGCACCCCCAGGCACCACCAGGCACCCCCAGGCACCCACCAGGCACCCCCAGGCACCACCAGGCACCCCCAGGCACCCCCAGGCACCACCAGGCACCCCCAGGCACCACCAGGCACCACCAGGCACCCACCAGGCACCCACCAGGCACCACCAGGCACCACCAGGCACCACCAGGCACCACCAGGCACCCCAGGCACCCCCAGGCACCCCCAGGCACCCCCAGGCACCACCAGGCACCACCAGGCAGCACCAGGCACCCCAGGCACCCCCAGGCACCACCAGGCACCCCCAGGCACCACCAGGCACCCCCAGGCACCCACCAGGCACCCCCAGGCACCCCCAGGCACCCCCAGGCACCCCCAGGCACCCCCAGGCACCCCCAGGCACCACCAGGCACCCACCAGGCACCCCCAGGCACCACCAGGCACCACCAGGCACCACCAGGCACCCCCAGGCACCACCAGGCACCCCCAGGCACCCACCAGGCACCCCCAGGCACCCCCAGGCACCCCCAGGCACCCCCAGGCACCACCAGGCACCACCAGGCACCCCCCAGGCACCCACCAGGCACCCCCAGGCACCACCAGGCACCACCAGGCACCCCCAGGCACCCACCAGGCACCCCCAGGCACCCCCAGGCACCCCCAGGCACCACCAGGCACCCCCAGGCACCACCAGGCACCACCAGGCACCACCAGGCACCCCCAGGCACCCACCAGGCACCCCCAGGCACCCCCAGGCACCACCAGGCACCCCCAGGCACCACCAGGCACCACCAGGCACCACCAGGCACCCCCAGGCACCCCCAGGCACCACCAGGCACCCCCAGGCACCCCCAGGCACCCCCAGGCACCACCAGGCACCCCAGGCACCCCCAGGCACCCCCAGACACCACCAGGCACCCCCAGGCACCCCCAGGCACCACCAGGCACCCCCAGGCACCACCAGGCACCCCCAGGCACCCCCTGGCACCACCAGGCACCACCAGGCACCCCCAGGCACCACCAGGCACCACCAGGCACCCCCAGGCACCACCAGGCACCACCAGGCACCACCAGGCACCACCAGGCACCCCCTGGCACCACCAGGCACCACCAGGCACCACCAGGCACCACCAGGCACCCCCAGGCACCACCAGGCACCCCCAGGCACCCCCAGGCACCCCCAGGCACCCCCAGGCACCCCCAGGCACCCACCAGGCACCCCAGGCACCACCAGGCACCACCAGGCACCCCCAGGCACCACCAGGCACCCCCAGGCACCCCCAGGCACCCCCAGGCACCCACCAGGCACCCCCAGGCACCACCAGGCACCACCAGGCACCACCAGGCACCCCCAGGCACCACCAGGCACCCCCAGGCACCCCCAGGCACCCCCAGGCACCCACCAGGCACCCCCAGGCACCCCCAGGCACCACCAGGCACCACCAGGCACCACCAGGCACCACCAGGCACCCCCAGGCACCACCAGGCACCCCCAGGCACCACCAGGCACCACCAGGCACCCCCAGGCCCCCCCAGGCACCACCAGGCACCACCAGGCACCCCCAGGCACCCCCAGGCACCACCAGGCACCACCAGGCACCCCCAGGCACCCCCAGGCACCACCAGGCACCACCAGGCACCACCAGGCACCACCAGGCACCACCAGGCACCCCCAGGCACCCCCAGGCACCCCCAGGCACCACCAGGCAGCTCCTGCACAGTAAACGTCTTAACTTTACCGCAAAACCCAGACACGGTTTAATTATTGTTTTATGAGTCGCCTTTGGCATGGAACTTGTGCTAGCGTGAGTCATGTATTGACTCACGTGCTTCCTGCTTCCCCCTCCAGTGTCTCAACCCCCCTACCCTACTACCACCACAACCACCACAACCACCACATCCACCACCATTGCTTTATACATCTACGACAACGAATACCTTCATCAAAACCAGTACTCTACCACCACAGCCATCACCACCACTTGCATCACCACATCCACCACAACTACCACCATTGCTACCACTGCCATTAACACCCCCCCACAACCACCACTATGAACGGTGCAAGAGAAGATGATGGGGTAACAGACGCCCCCCCCCCTTCCTCTAATTCGTTGCAATACCAGAATCTTCACTAGCATCTTTTTAATGAGGGAAAATACCGTGATTCACTAATATGTTGCAACTTGTATATATATACATAGCTCCAGCAACATGTGGAAACCATTGAAAGTTCAATTTCCGGCAACATATTAGTCCTGGAGTAGCAAACCTTCACAATTTAGACTCGCTTTAGTGACGGGTGGAGGTGGGGGAATATAATAGCAGGAGTCCCCCAAGGCTCAGTCCTGGGACCTCTTCTGTTTCTAGTTTATGTGAACGCCCTACCCAAGGGAGGGAGGGAGGAAACTATCAGGGGAACCACCAAGCCATTACGACTATATAGCACTTGGAAGGTATCAGGATAAGGATTTGGGATGGGACGGGGGGAAGGAATGGTGCCAAGCCACTTGGACGGTCGGGGATTGAACGCCGAACTGCATGAAGCGAGACCGTCGCTCTGCCGCCCAGCCCAAGTGGGAGTGAGCTCGTATATGACAAAGTTTGCAGATAATTCAAAGCTGACAAGGAATGTCAAAACAGAGGACGACTATAGGAAGTTACAAGGTAAAGTTACTAAACCCCAAGAATGAGCAAATAACTGAAATTCGATCCCAACGAGTGTAAGGTAATTAAGATGAGAAACAGAGAAAGGAGACCAGAAGACATCTCCTCCATAAGATTAGTGGATATAATTCCAACATTAACACTGGAGAGCAACACATATGGGGTAATATCAGCGTCATATGCAACGCTGACAAGCATTGTAACAAAGTTTAGAAATCTAAATCAGGCTCCTTGAGGGCAATCTACACAACATTTGTTAGACCAATATTGGAATATGCAGCACTAGCATGGACCCTCATATGGGGCCTCGTAGCCTGGTGGATAGCGCGCAGGACTCGTAATTCTGTGGCGCGGGTTCGATTCCCGCACAAGGCAGAAACAAATGGGCAAAGTTTCTTTCACCCTGAATGCCTCTGTTACCTAGCAGTAAATAGGTACCTAGGTGTTAGTCAGCTGTCACGGGCTGCTTCCTGGGGGTGGAGGCCTGGTCGAGGACCGGGCCGCGGGGACACTAAAGCCCCGAAATCATCTCAAGATAACCTCAAGAAGATAACCCCACACCATGTGGAGTATAAAACCAAAATGTTCAAATTCCTTGTTTTATAACAAGATTGACCGGAGGTAAAAGGGCTAAGCTATGAGGAAGTATATCTCACCACCATAGGTAATTGAATAGAGGGGGACATGATTACACCATACAAAATACTGAGAGGAATAGATAAGATGGACAAGAACAGCCTCTTTAAATTGAGAGAAAGCAAGACAAGAAAAGGAAAAGCTGGTAACGCAAATGGGTCGAAGATATGTAAGTAAATACTCGCATCCAGTGTGGGGTTATCTTGAGGTTATCTTG